TGTCATTACCACCGGAATCCCATTAGTTTGGACCCCGAGTTGCATTGCCACATCCTCCAGAGTAATCGTACATTCGCTACACGGCAAATGAAACGTGTGTGTTTCTGGTATCCAACGTTCAATCAACGCACTGATCAAACCTGGGACCAACTTGTAATCTCGCACAAGTGTTACATACCAAAATCCAGCCTCTTGTAGGTTTTCTTCTATCAATCGGTGTGGCTTGGGCACTTTATGTAGCCGATGACGAAGGACTCGCTGCTCGTCCTCCTGCAATTAAATAATGCAAAACAATTATCACAATCATAAAATAATATTCAAATATTTATTAATAATAATTTTTTAAACAAATATTTTATTCACCATTATTCCCAAATGACTTGAAATATGTTCATTGTCAAGTCTCAACAGTGGAATTTGGTCAGCCATTCGAATGAATCTGTAAAAAAAATTAAACAACAATATTTAAAAAATTATTTAATATAATCTAATGTTAAGTAAGTAAGTAAGTAACTAACTAACTAATTTACAACACAACAAAAAAAATTTAATATAATAACTTATAATATAATAAACTTATAACGTAACAAACTAAACTTTTTAAAATATAACTTAAACGTGAATTTCCCTTAAATAACTAATAAACTATTCTTTAATATAACTTCAACTAATAAACTATTCTTTAATATAACTTCAACTAATAAACTATTCTTTAATATAACTTAAACTAATAAACGATTTTTAATTATAATTTACTACTAAAAAACTAATTAACTAAATTTTTTATATAATATAAATTCAACAAATCATATGGCAACTTAACTAGTAACACAAACACTAATTACATATTTTTTTATATATAACTAACGACTAACAAACTAACTAATTAAGTAAAAAAAAATTACCTTAAACCCTAACCCTAACCCTAAACTAACAAACTAATAATTTAAAATAATAAACTAATTTAAATTAAATAAAATGAAAATTTACCTCGATGTTTGCTTACCGGACTCCCTTTCTTCTTCTTCCTCTTATTCCTTTCCTTTCTCTCGACACTCTTCTCCCTTTCTTTCTTATGCTTCTTTAACCCTATATCATACCCCCTATATATTAAAGAGGGTCGGGTGCTTCAATTCATCCACCGATAATTGAAGAATCATGAGCCGTTGATTCTCGTGGATTGAAACAATAATTGATGCATGAAGCAACGAAAATTATGCTGCAATAATGCAGCGAATAAAGGTGCATGGAGCAGCGGGGAGCACGCGCAGGAATCTTGCAGGGGACAAGGTCACCCAGCGTGCATGGCGACCTACCATGTCGCCCAGCGTGCATGGAGACCTACCCTTGCTCAGTCGCTCAGATGCCCTCGCATAGCTCGCTCGGTTACCCTCGTTCGGATGGCCTCGCTCGGTTGCCCTCGTTCGGATGGCCTCGCTCGGTTGCCCTCGTTCGGATGGCCTCGCTCGGATGCCCTCGTTCGGATTGCCTCGGATGCTCTCGCATAGCTCGCTCAGATGGCCTCAGATGCCCAGCGTGTTAGGAGCGTGTTGGGACGTGCATGGCACATGCAATCTCTCACGCAGCTCGCCGGGAAGCCATGGCGACCTAGTAGGTCGCTCGGATGGCATGGCGACCTACGGCCAACACTATGGATTTCATCCTATTTGAGCAATTAATCTGGGGAGTGAATTATCTCGTGAAATAATTTCTTCGAGAAAATTATCTTGAAAGTTTTGCCGGAGTTTGTTTATGTGAATAATTAATAAATGAGGTCAAGTTTGTGAAGCTTCCTAGAAAACTGGAGTCGACCACGCCTATTTCATAAAAATAAATGTTCAAATTATACATCGAATAATATTTTAATATTTAAAAAAATTTCATTAAAAATAAGTGTATGATGTTTTCAATGTTATATTTTTAAGAGCATGACCGTTAATCGCACTTAAAAATCTCTGTTAAGTGATACGTGTCACAATTTGATAATTTTATTTTTAAAAAACCAAACAACAACAACCCGTCTCCCTCCCTTCTCTCCCTTCCCCTTTTCATAGCTGTTGGTCAGTCAGTCGTGACCGTCATTGCTATCGTCATCAGTATTGGCATCAACCCCCGATCAAATCCCCGTTGGCATTTCGCTGTAATCTGCCACCGTTTGTCATGGAGAAGCGTTCAAAAAAATTTCAGACTGTAGCTGTTTTTTTGTCGATTTCGACATCCATAAGCCATACCACCACCACCATTCAAACCACCGTGCAATTCCGATCAAAACTCAACCGTTCGATAATGATGATGATGTCCGGAGATGGCTGATGAGATTGATAATAGGGTTGAAATGAGAAATTTTTTTTTGGATTTTTATAATTTCAGTAAAAGTTTAGGTTTTTTATAAATAAATTAAGTTTTTTTTTCTTTTTCTTTTTTAAAAAATATTTTTATTATTAAAAATTAAAAAATATAGCGGTTGACACTTAAAAATATAACTGAGAAAACATTAAATACTTATTTTTATCAAAAAATTATTTAAACACTAAAACTTTTTTTGTGATATATTTTGTATACTTATTTTTGTATTAAGCCTTAAATGTAATGACTCCGTCGATAATGGAGTCTCGCTTCTCATTTTTCTTTTTAATTTTCCGTGTAGGTTTTCTTTTTTTGGATTCATGTATATTTTATATATGAATTGATTTAAATTATTTAACTGATTATCTATTTTAGATATGATTAATATGAATGTTTAATATTTTATTTTATAATTATTGTAAATCGATTTGTTACATACTCATGCTTATCGAAAAAAATATTAGCCGTTCCTGATGAGTTTTTTTTTTGTTTTTTTTTATCTTGCAATCATTTCTATGCAGTTCGTTATGGTAAACATTAAAAAATCAAAATATCTTTTTAAAGTTTTGATTTTATATTCGAATATATAAATTTTTAAATTCGAAGTGTCTTGTACTAAATTTTTGGAAAATAGAGTTTTTAATTTTCTTAAAAAAACAAAATAAAGAGATAAAAATAAAAAAAGGATTTAAAATTTACGTTGGTTTGGGTTAGACACTTTCCTCTTCTCTCTTTTTTCCCTTCTACGAGTTTGCGTTGTTTTTATAAATCAAATCAATTTTTTATTTAATTTTATTTAACCGACGACAGCATCGATTTTAATGTTGGTTGTCAATCGTTAGTTCTTTTTTCTCTTTATTTTTTTTTTATTTTTAATAAGAATAATTATGCATTTGTGGCACGTTTATTTATGCCTTTGTGGCACGTTTTCTCTACCTTTGTGGCACATTTTTCGTTTTTTCTCGGTTGTTTGGCCGTTCTTTTATTTATGTTTTCTCAATGTTATATTTGATGACACCACGACTGATTAAGATGACACTTATTTGAAATCTTGTTGATCTTCCCTGCTAGGCTTGTAAACGTACAGAACATTCAACGTACCGTTATATGGAAAGTTCGTTTATGTTCATTTATTTATTAAACGAACGAACATGAACAAGATTTTATGTTCATTTAATTAAATAAACAAAAACGAATAGAGGGCTCGTTCGTTCATTTACGTTCGTGAACATTCGGTAATATGTTTGTTCGTTTATGTGCGTTCATTTATGTTTAGCCCAATCTCTCTAGATCCATTTAAAATATTAAAGCTCAATAAATTTTAATCTGATACCCATAAATATTTTAAAATTCAATTTATTTTACATACAAATAAAAAGCCCAAAACAATTAAATAAAATATAATCCTAAAATTGTTAGGAAAGAAAAAAATATATTTTCATTTATGTTCGTTTATGTTCATTTAATGTGTTCGTTTATGTTTGTTCATTTGTGTTTGTTTATCATTTAAATGGACGAACATTAACGAACACGAACAAGCTACATTCTTTAATAAATGAACACTAACAAGAATTTTTTTTGTTCGTTTATGTTCGTGTTCGTTAATTTGTTTGGTTAAAGTTAAATAAACGAACATGAACATACTCTCGTTCGTGTTCGTTCGTTTACAGGCCTATTCCCTGCTATGGACCTTCATATTAAATTTGGATGTGTGATTTTGTGTTCATGGATAGTTACTTATGACGCTCGGCTCTGATTTGCAATTCTATGTGGTAGTTCAATAGTTTAATTATCTTTTGTGATTTATTTATCTATGCAATCAGATTTGTTCGTATATACCTTTGTTCGGATCTTTTGGTTGGGTTTCTAACCTTTTTTATGAATAGTCCTTATGATTTAAATTGGCTAGTTTTGATGTTATAAAAAAAAGTTCAAATTATGTATTTAGTTTACGATGATAGTTGTAAATTTTTATTATAATTTTGGATATTCTTACATTTTAATAATACTAGAGCTTCTATCTAGAAAGAAAAAAAAAGCGTGGGTGCTCAAAATATTTTTTTCTCTTTTCTATCTTAGTAGGATTTCATTTTTTTTGGTTTATTTACCTAGACAACAAAAATAAGTAATAAAGAGTGACAAAATGAGTTATGGAAGAAAACGAACAAGTATCATGTGTTATGCATTTATTGGATAACATTTTTTAACGTGCTTAACAGATTAATTTTACAGATATTGGTTCCCTCAGTTAAACTTCAAATGCATATACATTCCTGGCCAAGCTGTCTGGCTGGAGTTAGACGGTGAAATGTTCATTAGCCTGTGAAACTATATTTTCTACCCTTTGTGCTGAATAAATAAATGTAAGGTTTCCATAATTGCTTTGAGAAAATACGTCCCTTTTACCTAGTACGAACCAAATTAAAAGAATCATTGTTGTTTCTAGAGGAGGAGCACCAGTGACTACGTTTACAACATATTTGTAAGCATGATGTCATTAAATTAAGAAAATTCAGAACAGATACGGATAGATTAATCTTTAAATATTTATTATTCTGATTTCTTGTACTTGGGCTTCCGAATCATTTGATATCATCTTAATCATGATTAAAATTTTATTTGGACAATACACTATGAAGCAAAAACACAAGTAATTGGAGAAAATATCCAGTATTATAACCAGTTTCCATCATCTTATTGAACTCTGCAATGAACCCACCCCCATGTTCTCAACCATTCAATTCCACTAAAAAAATAAAATGAAAAACATAAAATCTCCTGTTTTGATTTCTCCAAATCATGAATTAAGTTTGTCAAGCATCTTCCTATATTCTGCAGAATCCAGAAACATAAAACAACAATCAGACACAAAACATTCAAAAATTGAAGCTATTATATTCAAACTAAAACAAAGGTACCTTCTTGATTGCTCCAAAGCTGAGCTGCTTGGGTGTTCAAAGGTGAGTTGATGTTTGGTTCTGCATTTAAACAAAACCCCTCAAATCTCATACTAAAAACTCTAATTTTTTAAAGAAGAAGAAGAAGCCAAAATAAATACCTCCGAGGAGACTTTGGATAGATAGCAGTATGGTTCTTACATCATAAGCAGATGACCATTTATCCTACAAACACAAACAGTTATGCATCAAGGATTATTTGTTTCCCCTGTAAACAAGAGACAGGAGATTGTTTCTAGTTTACCTGAAGAATGTCCAAGCAAATGTTGCCGTAGACATCGACATTCGGATGGAAACAGGCGGTCTCGAACTTAACCTTTGGGGGTTTAAAAGGGTAATCATTAGGGAATGCAAGAGACAGTTTGTATTCTTTTCCTTCAAAAACTGTGTCTTTGCTTCCTTTAATTGTTCCTTTCCAGCAAAATATGTTGTCCTCTTCTGGGAATGCTGATATTCCAGGATCCCCACCCATCTATCATACATTATATAAATTTAGAACTAATTCCTTTTGTTTCGAAGAAGCAAAACATCAAACAGATTCAAGGCAGTATTAGAGTTCAATTCTTACCATCAAAGCCATCAATTCGGTTTGCAACCTGTTGACACCCAAAAAAAAAAAAAAAAAAAAAGAAAATCAAATCCACAAAATTAACTTCGATTTGACCTAGTTTAGAAACAAAATCCAATGCAAAGTAGTAAAAGAGAGAGTTGGGAAAAACCTTTTAAGAACAGATTGAGAATCAACAGTCCTGGCGGTGGATGTAAGCTGTTTTGATCCAGTGGTAGAGGCCACTGGTGTGTTTCCTGTGTACCCATTTGTCGTTGCCATTCTCTTCTCTTGCTTTACGAAGAAGAACAAGAAAACAGATCCACAAAGGGTTTTTCGAAAGAATCAAAACCAAAGGAAGAAATCAGCAGATGAGCAGGACGGGCATACGAAGAACGGATCCACAAGAACTCTTTCCCCGTTCTTCGTATTCAGTGCTTTTACAGATAGCGAGAGAGAGAAAGAGAAGTTGTGAGTTGTGAGGGTTTGAGAGTAGGCGTTTTGTTTTTTATAAAGGGGTGAAGAAAATTTCTGACCGTTGCCTAGAAATTCAAATTTGTAACGGCTAGTCCACCCCCTTCTTTTCATTGCACCAAGCCTTCTTTTCTTTCTAATATTAGGCCAATCCGAATAACCACTTGTTAAATGGCCCATCTTTAATTTTGTGTGTATTTATTTTAAATGGTTAGATATTATCATTGTACTTAATATCTATCAATAAAATAGATTATTTAAAAAATAGATATCTGATAAATTACTTAATTAATACAAAAATTCTCATTATATTTTACAATATTTACAAAATTTTCATTATATATATTGTTTAGGATTTTTGTTTCGTCATTTTCTTCCTACATTCACCTCGCTTTCTCTTCTTTCTTCATTTTCTTTCTCAAGGTTTCTTTTCCCCAAATTTCCTCTTTACACATACTTTATATAGGAAATACTATGGGAATAATACTTATTATATATTTTTTTACTAAAATCACACCCAAGTAATATTATTAGCCAATATAGCATCCTTTTAACAAAGATCACCATGTACAAAATATTTTCCAAAAGACAGTTTTTGTACAAAATTTTTCCAACGTTGTGACTTTTAGAATCTTTTTTCCACGGTGGCATCATTCAAAATTAATATAGAAGAAATGAAAATTACATGCCACAAACTAAAGAAATTATACAAATTTTATTTTGAAAAAAAAATAACGTTCAATACATATCTTTAACATGTATTTCCCGAGCAAAAAATGTTTTTGATAAATTTTAAACAAATACAAATTTAGTATATGTTCGAATTTTTTTCCAATCATTTAACAGTGAACACTCATACGCCTACACGGTTTTTGAACATAAGATCTCAATGAATAACAACAATTTCTTAACCATTAAGAACACTTGCATCATGCCTTGAGAATAAACTTGGTCTAAATATTCTGGTCCCTTTGGAGCAATGGAATTGTTCTTTAACTTTATGCAAAAATATGTTTTCTTGATTCCCAAATGATTTTGCCCGTGTCGCACTCAAGCTTAGCCTCGGCCCTCAAGTCTAAAGGCATGCAGATCCATTATTTAGCTGTTAAACCATTCATGTTTTTTTTATCTTATTGATGCTTCAATTCAAATTAAAGAATAATAAAAAAGGCATTTTGAAGTGAAACTGAAAATAGATCGTAAACTAAAGTTGTGTATTTAGTCAGAATAGCTTCGAACATTATCATACAACATGGAGTGGAACCTTTGGTATTTGCAAAGGCATCAGAAAAAGCTAATTGATTTAACCATAGCTCAGAAAATAGAGCAGGCAGACGCATCAAACCAACCACGTCCACCCATACCAAGCCAACTTTTGCAAACTGCAATCCAACAAACAAATTCAACACATAGTGCTGAAAAACATCTTCTTGGGTCACCAATGACTTTTTCCCACATGAAAAAAGTCAAGAAACCTATAAGTAACTTCGAAGCTAACTTTAACTTATGATCCTAAGTATTTATCTGTTCAAATTAAATAGTACCATTGTTGAAGATATTCATTTTTTTCATTTTAATTTTATTTATATTATTATTATTATTATTATTATAATTATTATTATTATTATTATTATATATTATTTATTTATTAATATTACAAAACCCGGAGCCCAATAATCAGGCCCATATTACAAGCCCAAACCAGATGGAAACCCTAAAACATTTAGGGTTTCAGTTAGGGTTTTCTAACCCTAACCCCGTGTGCCGCCGCCTCAATGGTTTCCAGCCGCCTCAGAAGTCTTCAGCCACCGCCGTTGGTTCCAGAAGGCCACATGTCCGCTGCCTACACTCCACCAATGCCACGAAGCCACCTCGAAGAAGCCTCCAGAAGCTCTGCTGCCACAACCCCGACCGTCCACGTCGCCTCTATGGTGAGTCACCAGCATAGCTTTGGTGACTCACCGAAATCCGCTCTTCGGACCGGTCCGATGGCCACACCGGTGATGGCTATAAAGCCATCACCCCATCTGCGAGCAGAAACAAGAGAACAACAGAGAGAGACGGAGACCACACAGGAGACCGAGAGAGATACAAGATACTAAAAAACTACCAACGATCTCAACAACAACACAGCAAAGAAATAGAAAAGAAAGAAAGAAAAAGAAAGAAGAGAAACTTACTCTGTCATCGGAGAACCCCAACCGTCGCCGGATACAACGAAAACCGAAGGTACTTTTGTAGATTTGCTCCGATTAGGAGCTTTTTAAGGAAAAAGAGCACCGGAAACGCCCTTAGGACGGTCCGATCTATTAACGGTTAGAGAGAGAAGGCAGAGAGAAATTTGTTCTCTCTCTGTTAGAGAGAGAACAGAAATAAGGAAATGAGAAGCTGGCCCGTAGGGCCAGCCGGCTTAGGGTATTAATACCCTCTCCCAAACGACGTCGTTTCGGGGAGGGTATTTCTGTAATTTCATAAAGGGTAAACCCCGTCCGAAGCCATTCCAACTTGTAATTTTTACATTCTAGTCACTAAATCGAGTTTATAATACTTTTAATTTAGATCTTTAATTTCAATTTCATTTATTTTAGTCCTTTATATTAAAATAATATATTTAGGATAAATATCATATTTAGTCCTTTAATTTTAATAATTAATATTTTAATCCTGAGTATATATTTTTAATTTATTTTAATCTTATATTCGAATTTTAAATAAGTTTATTTTAGTCACTAAATTATTAAATAAGAAAATAGCATGTTTAATCCCTGTAATTTTGATTAATTATGAATTAGGTTTTTAATTTTAATTTTACTATAATTTAGTCACTTATTTTAAATGTTTTTATTTCTTTTATTGCTTTTAAATACATGGTTCTAATTGTATTTATTATTTTAATTTTACTTGTCTAAATATTTTTATTATTATTATGTAGTCATAAATATATATATAATAAATAGATATTTATTTTAAATAAATTATTTTAATATTTATTTGTCAATATCGAAGAAAAGGACAGTCTTAATACAACTGGATGTCCTATTCTGGTATTTTAAAATTAAAAATTATAAAAAATATTATTTAATTTAAATTAATATTTATCAATATCAAAGAAAAGAGCTGTCTTAAGGCACCTAGAAGTCCTTTTCTGATAATTTTAAATATTTTTTATAATTTTGAAATAATAGGATTATAAATTAAATATATTTTGAATTTTTTTAATTTTTAATAATAGAGACAATTTATAATTAAAAAGTACCAATTTTGGGCGTTGTAGGGGTGCTAATCCTTCCCTAAACGTAATCGACCACGAATCCCTTTTTATTATTAAAAAGAACAAATTTTTGGTTATAAACGCAGATCAGTTTTATCTTTTAATTGATATTTTCTTAAAAACTCTTTTAAAAGATATTTTTTTTTAGGTATTCGACCTACCTAACCCAAAAGGCCGATGGCGACTCCCAAATTATTTTCAAAACCATTTATTCACATCACTTTTCCCGCCAAATTTAAAATTTCGTGCCCAGACGAAAATAGGTTACGACAGCTTGGCGACTCCGCTGGGGACCAGTCAAACTTTAAAATCAATTATAAATTGTCTCTATTAATTAAAAATTAAAAGTTCATATATTTAATTTTTAATTCTTTCTTTTCAAAATTTTTATATTTACTTATTATTTTCATAATATTTATATGTTTCATTTTATTTGCAAGTATTTTATTTCATTATTTATTTTTCTGTCAAAGGTTTGAACATTTCTCCTCACACACAACACTTGCATTGCATAACATAAAGCTCTATAATTGAGTTTGTCCTTTTTAAGTGGGAGTGAAAGCGACGTCTTCGTGAGAATTTATTCTCCGTGTCAGACCTAGCAAGTAACTTTCGGGGTTCATATACTCTATGTTTTCGTGAGAATTTATTCTCCGTGTCAGGCATAGAGAAATGTATCCCCTCGAATTGAACTCGATCCATTCTAGTCTGTGATGGACTAGGATTGAGGGTTAGTAACCCAAGGGGGCACTAACAAGGACAATTCGGGTACTTTTTATTCTTAGATCTGAAACCCTGCATATAAAAAAACCTTAGAAACTCTTCCAATCTGAAGTCATGCTGAAATTTTGTCCAAAATAGGTGTACACACAGGAGAAATGAATTCTAACTTTCCTGTTAATTTATTTATTTTCTTTACTGATTAAATTACATGTATATTTAAATTATTTAAATTTAGAAAAAGCATGTTTAAATAAAAATATTTATGTAAATGTTATTATTAAATTTCTTTATTATGTAAACTAATTTATTTTCTTTTTGTGTGTTCTTTATTTTTCTGTTTGCATAGCATCATACAGGATAAAAGGCATTGATCCTTGTGTTAATTGTCTCATTGGAAAGCCTTCATCCATGGATAAAAAGGGTTCAAATCAAGTAATTCTAAACTCAGAAGTAAGACAGTGGGCTGAGGATTTACAAAGACAAGAAGGAAACAGTCTGCAGGATGATTATGTATCTGACTTAGCCAGTTATGCTCCAGTTTCGCTAAAAAGAAATGATATGCAAGATTTGCGAATTATTTGGGAAAGTTGGGATTCAAACAAAAAATTGCAGTTTTATCAGACTTACGGAGACATCCCATATTTGCTCTATGTCGAAGTTGATGATGAATTAATCAGAGCCCTAATTCAATTCTGGAATCCAGGGTACAATTGCTTCACTCTCAATAAAGAGGACTTGGTCCCTACTATTGAAGAGTACACAACTTTGCTACATATCGAAGGGGCTTTGGAGAATCGAATCTATTCAAAGTCAATTAAAACTCAACCCTTTCGAGTTAAATTAGCAAAGATTGCCGGGGTACGAGAAGAATGGGTGGCATCCCGTACAAAATAAAAAGGTGAAAGCGAAGGCATTGCTTGGACCAACATTAAAGAACTTATTCAGAGTCATCCAGATATTAAAGTACGATTCAATTTATTTGCTCTAGGTATGTATGGTA